GGCCCTCCGCGAGCGTGACGACACACGAAATAAGGACACAGATGTGCCTTGCACCCTACCGGCGGAGGCCGTGCTTCATAAACGCGAGCCCACACGGCCACGCACCATCTCCTCTTCCCCCACCAGCCACTTCCACGCAGCCCGCCCTGGTCCAGGCTCATGACGACGGTGACGGTGACAAGTCTCATTTCATGGATGCCAGGCACTGTGCTATGATGTCATTGATGTGCCTTAGCTGATTTATTCCTCACAAGAGCCCCGTGAAGCAGGTGCGTCTCTATCTCCATTCTACAGACGAGGAACCTGAGGCTCAGAGCATGTGGGGAACTTGCCTTGGGCCGGCCAGTCTGTAAGTGGCGGCACTGGGATGTAACCCCACACACTGGTTCCAAAGCCAGTGACTCTAGCTACTGCATGCCAGCCCTGAGGGCTTCAAAGGACAGAGGCTGGGACTGCCAGTCCCCTGGGGGTTGCAGGGAAGGGGAGACTAACAGCCAAGGCCAAGCAGATGCTTACAAAGGGAAAGGTGCTCTCTCCTCCCCCCGCCTCCGCCACCTGACATACACATCTGAAGAGGTGCTGCTGGGACAGAGGAATGGACAAAGCTGTCAAACTTACACCTTTTCTACTTCTTGGCCTAAGTCTTTGTCCCACTGTGTCCTAACCAGATAGGGGAGTCAAGGAACAGAATGCAAGGGGACGCAGATCTAGGGAAGCAGGTGGAGGTAGAGCAGCCAGCCCCCTTGGGGTGGTCCACCCTGTGCCCGAGCCGTAGGTTCTTGTCAAGGGGGTCTGGTCTGAATCAGCCAGAGCTCAGGACTCCGACCAGGGGCCTGTCCCCTGGGGACTGAGGACTGAGGTCCATGCCATGACTGATATTCTCAGGGCTGGTTGACCTTGAGAGGCCCTACATACCAGAAGCTCGTGATGCTCCCCGTGTGTAATTCCACGTACAAACACAAACACCACCAAACCAAAACAAAAGGAAAGCAATCCGACAAAGGATACACAGAAAGCTCAAATCGGTGGCTTCTGCCCGGGAAAGAGACTAAGTGGCTGGGGGAGAGGGCTGGGAGGAACACATTTACTTCTCCCTTATACCTGGGTTTTTTTAAAAAAAGATTTTATGGGCGCCTGGGTGGCTCAGTCGGTTAGGCGACTGCCTTCGGCTCAGGTCATGATCCCGGAGTCCTAGGATCGAGTCCCACATCGGGCTCCCTGCTCAGCGGGGAGTCTGCTTCTCCCTCTGACCCTCTCCCCTCTCATGCGCTCTCTCTATCTCATTCTCTCTCTCAAATAAATAAATAAAATCTTTTAAAAAATTTTTATTTATTTATTTGTCAGAGAGAGTGAGCACAAGCAAGGGAAGTGGCAGAGGGATAGAAAGAAGCAGATTCCCCACTGAGCAGGGAGCCCGTTGCAGGACTCAGTCCCAGGACCCTGGGATCATGACCTGAGCCGAAGGCAGACGCCTAACGACTGAGCCACCCAGGCGTCCCTACACCTGTTTTTTGAATTGAATTATAGTTGACGCACAATGTTACATTAGTTTCAGGTGTACAACTAGTGATTCAACAAGTCCATGTGGTATGCTACACTCACCACAAACATAGCTACCACCTGTCACCATCCAACATTATTACAATTGTATTATTCACATTATTACATTATTACAATACCACTGATGAGCGGCCCAGTTGGTTAGGCATTTGCCTTCAGCTCAGGCCATTATCTCAGGGTCCTCGGATCGAGCCCCGAAGTGGGCTCCCTGTCTCTCTCAAATGAATAAATAAAAAGTCTTTAAAATATTTTTTAAAATACCACTATCTTCCCAACGCAGTGCCTTTCATCCCCATGGTTTATTGACTCCATAACTGGAAGCCTGTACCTCCCACTCCCCTTCACTCATTTTGCCTCTCTCCCACCTGCCTCCCCTCTGGCAACCATCAGTTTATTCTCTGTGTTTATGGGTCTGTTTCTGATTTTTGTTTTGTGTTTTAGATTCACATATAAGTGAAATCACACGTTCTTTGTCGTCCTCTGACTGACTTATTTCACTTAACATAGTACCCTCTAGATCCATCCACATTGTCACAAATGGCAAGATCTTATTCTTTTTATGGTTGAGTAATATTCCGTTGTGTATATAGATATATATATATATATATATGCCATATCTTCCTTATCCATTCATCTGTCGATGGACACTTGGGTTGCTTCCCTATCTTAGCTACTGTTAATAATGCTGCAGTGAACATAGGGGTGCCTATATCTTTTTGAATTACTGTTTTCATTTTCTTGGGTAAATACCCAGTAGTGGAATTACAGGATCATATGGTATTCCTCCTACTTTTAATTATTTGAGGAAGCTCCATACTGTTTTCCCCAGTGTCTGGGCCAACTGACATTCCCACCAGCAGTGCACAAGTGTCCCTTTTCTTCACATCCTCACCAACACTTGTTATTTCTTGTCTTTCTGATTCTAGCCATCTTGACAAATGTGAGGTGGTATCTCAGGGTGGGTTTGATTTGCATTTCCCTGAGGATGAGTGAAGTTGAGCATCTGTGTCTGTTGGCCATCTGGATGTCTTCTTTCCCCTATCCCTTTTTGGATGTTGTAGCATGGGTATGTATTACCTTTATAAAAATAAATAAATTGCTTGGGAGATGGAAATTTGTAGGAAACACCGACTGGGGTGCTGGGAATGCTCTACATCTTAATCTAGGTGGTATATACATTGGTGTATGTGGTCAGGCCATATGCTTAAGATTCATGTTAAGCACTCATGTAAGCATTCATGCACATTATGTATGCTATTACCTCAATAAAAAATAAGGAAAAATAATAACCAAGTGTTAAAGCTCAACTAAAGTCTGTTTCCTGTGATGACTACTTTATCACTTTTTCAAATATCAAACATCAATCCCCCCCCCCGGCAAAAAAATGGGCTCTTCCCCTCCCCCTTCTCTCTGGTACCTGGGAAACTCGGTCTGTTTATTATATGACCTAATGCTGACTACCATTTCAGTCTTGGACTTTGAGCCCCACTGAAAGACCACAAATTCCCTCCCAGAGCTAGGGGCAGAAAAAGCATCTGCATAGCTCCTGCATAGCTGCATCCGGCTCCACCGTGGGGGCGCCACAGCCCATCAGGCCCACCTTCAGGAGTTCAAAGGCTAACACAACGCCTCACGCAGAGTACGTGTCTAATAAACAAGCTCATCAATAGCCATGCACAGGCATGATCAGCTCCTGGTCCCTGCACTGGCATGTTCAGCTTCCGGTCCTACACATACATACCCTGCTTGTCATACACAGATGAGTATACACATGCACACACAGGCCCACTACACGCACCTCACCGCCCACGTCCATCTACACACATCTCTGGCCCAGTGCAGACACCCACACACATAGACACAGCATCCTGACCACATGTGACATTGTGGGTCCCGGCCTCCCTCTCCACTGCTTTACTCTGTGCACCCTGTCCTTGGTTCCTGTGTGCCCACAGCAGGGCCTCTGCCCAGGGGCACTCGACTCTTGGTTCACCACATGGCTGGCTCTTCCTCATCAGCCCGCTGTCAGCACATGTCACCTCCTCAGGAAAGCCCTCCTGGATCCCTCCAGTTAGCGATGCCATTGGCACTCCCAGTCACGTGCTAGCTAGCACCTGAAGCTGTTTTCATTTTCTGCATAACACTTCTGAGAATCTAAAATTAGTCCTATTTATTGGGTTCTCTGTGTCCTCTGTTGCCTCCCACTGGAATGAAGCTCCCTGAGAGCAAGGACCCTGTCTGTCTTCTTCGCTACATTATTGCCAGCACCTGACAAAGTACCTGGCCCATGGGGGATGCTGGCCATGCATCTGCTGCATGAATGATGCATGGGAGGGGCAAGTGAAGAGACACTGAGAGTGGAATGAACGCCAGATGTTGGGATATTCCGTGCGAAGGGGGAGCTTTCCCAGGTTGGCCTTTCAGACATGTTATGTTTCTGAATGGGGGCTACCCAGGGGTTCGGGTAAGCAGACAGCAGAAGCAGGGGACCAGAGAGTGAAGGGAGACAAGCAATGGAGAGAAGAAAGACACATCCGTCACCGGGAAAGTGCTAGAGAAAAGGAGGAGGGGGCTGAGGGATATAAATGAGACTGGAGTTCCTCACATATTGAGGGAGGGACAGGAAGCAAACCGGGGGGGGGGGGGGGGCAGTAGATGGCGCTCATGGTCGCACACCTGCTGCGCTGAGCATACACCCTGCCCCTCTCTCCCAAACTAACAGGAGCCTGTGTGGCACCCAGGTGGAGCCGGGGACTTACCCACGGGACAGCATCTCCCCAGAGGGACGGGGGGTCACAGGCACAGGGCCACAAGGGGTGCCGCTGTGCACAGCAGCCTGAACAGGTGAGGAAGAACGCTGGGAGCTCAGCGACTTCCTCCTTGATGCAGCCCGCCAGGCCACTGGCACCACGGCAGCGAGCCCCTGGTCTAATGATCCCTGGAGAAGGGACAGGTGGGAGGGGCTGGCCTCAGACTGCCACAGCCACCTGCCTCTCCTGCAAGCCCCACTGGGTCGTCCAGGGCCCGCCTGTCCTCAGCTTCTTCCCTTGGGAGGGGAGGAGCCACCTGGAGCTCCACCTGGAGCTCACAGAGCAGCTGGAGGGAGGGGCGGGGTGGGGGCAAAGACCAGGAAGTAGCCCTGGCTGAGGGAGCACCAACCAATGGGGGACCTCCCAGCACACAGAAGCGAAGGGGCCTCCAAAAAAGCCCAGGAAGCCCCACTCCTCAGAGGAGGCGACACCTGTGCAGGCCCACCACCCCCTCTCCCTCCAGGGTATTGAGGGGCAAGTCCATCCTCCCACCCTGCCCCAGAGCAGGGTTGTTACCAGCAGGAGCATAGGAAGGATCTGGACGGAGAGCTGAAGCGGCCTGGAATGGCAGAGGGAATCTGGGGCCAGGAGGTGGGGGTTGTCAGGGTCACAAAAGACTGACGCTGAGGCTAAGTCACAGGCACGTTTATTATCCTCCGGAACATTAAGGTCTTCCCTTCCTGGGCAGTGTCGCCCGGGAGGGCCGAACCTCAGGAGGCAGCCACACTGCCGCCAGAAGCAGGCCCGTGGGGAGGCAATGTCATGGGCGGCAGGAACAGCGCCTTCAGCTTCCCCGACAAGCTGGCAATCTCGGGATCCTGGGCTTCATAAGACTTGACCAAGCGGGCAAACTTCAGGACACCTGCAAGGGGAAGTGGAGCATCAAGCCACACCAGGGGACAGGTGTGCCCCAGACATCAGGAGGGGGCAGCTTGGGCATGAATCACTGGCTGTTTCCCCTCTGGTCAGGTAGCTGCCTACAAAACAAGGCACAAGCAGGCCTCTGCCCTGTGTGGTTTGGATCAACCATTTCCTGGTCTACACCAGGCACAACTTAGATGGGAGGCAGTGAATGAAATATCCCAAAGCGGTGTGCTTCTCGTGATCAGGTGAACCACTTTGGCTATTTACTCACGAGAACCCAAAGTATGAACATGCACAAGGTCCCAAGTCTATAACCTGAACACAGGAGAGCCATGGGCCAGCTGGGCTGATGGATTTGCACCCTTGGGGAACGCCATGATCTCATCAAGGAAACTGACCAGCCAGCCCTCCAAAAGAGATTAGCTAAAACCCCTTGGAGGGGCGGCAGAAGCATACTGTCATGCAGACATCCCACTAGAAGCTATCAGAAGAGGGTTCGGTTCCAGCTCTGCTGTAACCTCAGGCACTCAGTTTACTGCTAGAGTCTATTTCCTCATCTTAAAGTGGGATAGCAGTATAATTACTGGTAACTACAAAAAGCACTTAGGACTTCACCTGGCACAAGCTCAGAATAGACTCTTGGCTCTAACTGCCAATACTGTTCGTCAGATTGTGGCTGCCTCCGTGTGGCGAGACAAGGGAGGACGGCTTAGGGACCCAATGGATCCAACGCCCTCTCCCGGACCCGCGCCACCCCCGACCCCCGACCGACCCACCTTCCCCGTCGCAGCTGAAGCCATAGGCCTTGATAACCTCCTGCTGAATCTGCGTGGCCACAGGCAGCACGAACTGCAGCATTTTGCCCATGTCGTTGCACGCGTTGTCCCGAGCCTCGTCCATGCGCACGGCGTTCTCCGGGGCCGAGAACGCCTGGATTACCTCGGCCAGGACCACTGTGCGGAACACGTATCCCCGGGTAGGCGTCGGAGCATGGCCGGCGGGCCCAGCCAAGAACGCAGGGAAGAGGGCAGGGAATTAGTGGACTGAAGCCATAGTAACCCGATAAACTCGACCCAGATTCCCTCGCTCTAGGGGGCAAGGACCCCTCCTGGAGGAAAGAGAAGGATGGCACCCTGTGCCCCCATTTCCCGGCGGCGCAACCACACCCGTCGCTCTGTACCCTCCGCCCGCACGCACCCTCCTCCAGCTGGAAGCCCACCCGGTGGCTAGAACGCTGCTCACCCTTGGCTTGTTCGGCGCTCAGGGCCGCGGGCTGGGCCGAGGCGGACGCCATAGGGTAACAAAAGCTGCACGTGCAGCGAAACTCAAGAAACGCTCAGGAGAAACGAACTGCCTAATGCTAGGGTGGCTCTCAAAGCTGATGGGGGTGGAAGGGAAGCAGCATCAGCCGCAGCCGGAAGCCGAGAAAGCCTCTCGACATAGCGCAACGCGACACAGACACTGAAATACCTCAGGAAAGAAAAAGTTACTCAAACGGATCGCCCAACATTCGAGAAACTCATATAGAAAAAAAAACCCACCACGACGGCTAACACACCTCTATTGTTAAAAACGAATTGTGGGGGGGGTTTTCCGGTGAGAACCGGAAAACCTACTAGACAAATTCTAAAAGAGCTGTAACACTACAGGAAGTGGCCTAGAGAGAACGTGGGGTATCCATGAACGCCACTATTGGTGAGGGTGAGCTCAGACTGGCGTTTTCTAATTCTTACTGAGGTATAACCAACGGGGGGCATTACAACTTTCAGAAGGAAAAACAGGGGGAAAAGAAACTTATTTATAGCATCCATTTCTAGAGTTTGTGAACATTTGATTCCGAGCCTATGCAAATGAACCTGAAGCTGATTGGCTGGGACAGCTGGCCACACCCCCTTCGGTTTTTGAGAACGAAGTGATTGGCGGCAATAAACGCCGAGAGCCAAGCTGGCTCTCGTGTTCTCCTAAAATGGCCTTGTGCCGGGTGTGCGCTCCAGCGTAACGCCCTCCAATTTCTCTTCTGTTCTAGACATTTGAAATGGTCGCCCACTCCCTCCTCAAACCATGGGGTACTTAGGACTCCAGAGTTCTAGTCGTTTTAACCCAATGAAACTACGCCCCTGCACCTCCGCTTCATAACCCTTTCTCAGTCTGTTCGACAGAAAGCATTCTGGACTCTGGTGGCTCCTAGCTGAGGGGCCAGTGGCAGAAAGGCCTCCAAAGCCTGAGTGGCTTCCTAGCCCTGACCCTGTTAGAGGCGTGCCTGTCCTCCCCCCACGCCGGCCTCCAGCGTCTGGACTTCCCGGCCTTGCGACGCACGGAGGGACTAGCTCCGCAGTACCCTTCCAGCGGAGCCACGGCTCCAGGCCCTGGGCCCTTCCGAGAGCTCCTCTGCAACTCTCCAGGTCCCTACACCCACTTGTGTCCGGTTCCACTGCTTTCTCTCCAGGCACCGCTGAGTAGTCCCCCAGCCCCAGCCCCACCCCCACCCCCAACTCCGCCCCCAGAGCCCGCAAAGAACCAGTCACAGCCATCTTCCTGGGGAGTCGTGAGGATGTTTTTGTTTGGTTTTGCTTGGGATGTTTTTTAAAGAGCGTCATATAGATATTTATATATATAAATTATTAATGTGGGGGAGGGGCAAGGGGCATACATCGTAGAAGGGGCGCGCGCACAGGGACTGGGGGGGGCGGGGGCAGCACACGATGCTACGCAAAACAGCCACATCTAACAGATGAAATAATCACACCAACGGGGGTGGGGGAAGGGCGGTGGCCACCGGGGGTTGGGCACGGGGGAGGAAGAAAGCAGGGGGACAAGAAAAAGGGACCTGGTCCAAGATACTGTGCGCTTTCTGCCCCCCCCCCCCCCCCCCCCCCCCACCCGCCACCTCCCCACCTCTGCATACCACAGGAGCCTTGGCCTTCCGTCTGTCCCTTCCTCCCTCCCTCTGCCCAGCTGCTGAAACCCTGCAAAGGAGCGGCACCCCTCCCTCCTCAGCTCTGGGTGGAGGGCTGGGAGGGAGGCCTCCGAGGTCCAGATGCAGGGGCCACGGGTGCGCTCTTGATGGCAGGTTCTACAGCGGCTTGTCGCTTTCCTTCTTCAGGTGACTGGTGGAGAGGGGATGCAGAGCAGAGACATGAGACTGAGGTCAACCCTGACGGGGCCCCTGTCACAGAGTCGCGGGGTGGAGGAGAGATCCCCCCACACACACCAGGAGCCCAACACGCAGGGGTCTGCTGCCTGCACCCCGCCACCCCTGGCCTCGGGGGCCCTGCGCTACCTGTAGTAGTCCTCCTGGGCAGGCAGCGGCACACTGTGCAGGGGGTGATGCGCGTGCAGCCACTGTTGCTGCTCCAGTGCCAGGCGCTGCAGCTCAGCAGACTGCGCGTGCATGGCCTGCAGCTGGTGAGCTGCTGACATTGGGGCAGACAGGGAAGCTGGCAGGTCCCGGTAAGGAGCAGCTGTAGGCAGGAAGGGCAAGGGGCACATGACCGATGGAGTGCTGGGTACTTACTCTGGGCCAGGGGACAGCTAGCCACCTTACATTTGGAGGAAACTGAGGCTAAAACACTTGGGGAAAAGCCAGTCCTGCAAGTTGCCAGCAGTGGAGAGGATTGAAACCTCTGCCTGGCACTAAAACCTGTGCCTCTCTTGGGCAGGGCCTCGGCCCACCTTCTCCTATTCCCAGGTCCTCTGGTTACCTCCTCATCCCTCCCTCAAGCCCAAATAGGCCAATCCCACCCCCCAAACTCCTCCTTCCTGCCCTTCTCTCATTAGGCCCTCCCCACCCCCACTTCCAACCTTACCAAAGAGCTGGTGACGAAGAACTTCGTTCTCGTGCAGAGGGTGAGGAAGAAGGGGGTTGGGGAGGGTCCCAGCTGGGTAGGGGATCCGGGTAAGGTGAGACCCTGAGGCCAGGGGGTCAATGAGAGGGTGCACCGAGGCAGAGGCTACAGGGTAGAGAAGAGGAAGGTGTCACCAAAAGGCAGGCTTGGAGAAAAACATGCGTTTGGGTGAAGGGATCCAAGCCTGGGAAGGGATGGACAATCAATCAAACGCAGGGAGACCCAGTGAGGAACAAGGAGGCGCAAAGGAAGAACTAGGGGCCTGGTGGGTGGCCAGGACAAGACCTTACTGGAGTAGGAACATATGGATGGCAGAGAACAGGAGATTACAGTTTGTCAGAGGGGTCTGAGGGAAAGGAAAGAGAGACATGGGCTGCTTAGAGGAGATAGAGCAGGCTAGAAAGTTTAGGAAGTAAGACAGGAAGAGAGAGGAAGTTGAGAGAGAGAAAGCACAAGGGAGCCTGGAATGACCACGACTGTAAGGCTAAATCAGGCAATGTTCTAGACAATAATATGGCAAAAGGACAGTAAATAAAGCTCATTAGCACCTAAAATACCCCCGGCCAAAGCTATAGGGCTCTTTCTGGAAGGCCGCAGATCTAGAGATGGGGTAGAACATGAAACACCTCCACCTGGGAGGAGAGAAGATGGCAAGAAATGGTAACAGAGTTGAATCCAAAGGAGCAAGGAAACAGGTAAGTGAAGAGGGGTGGGGGGCACAGTCTGAGGGCAGAAAGGTAGCGTTCCCTCAAAGGTTTTCCTCTATGAGTGGAATGCTAGACTCTGAAGAGGGGTGGGGTGTGGGTTATTATAGTCCCTGTGGCAAGGCTGGGGCATGAGGAGATGGGGAATGACAGGGAGGCAAAGATCAGGGGAGCAATCCCCGGAGAGAGGCTCATGCCAGACTAGAGGAGGGAGGTCTTGGCCCGAGGAACAAAAGAGCCCAATCACTTGCCAGGGGTCAAGGTGGCCCCCAGGGACCAAGACAAAGAAGTAGGAGTCTCACCTGCATGGATGGCATCCTGCTGGTGGAGATGCAGGTGGGAGTGGATGTGGGAGTGCTGGTGGTGATGGGGGGTCACATTGAGCATCTGCAGCCGGGCCAGCGGGTCATTGCCCAGGGCTGCCACCCTTTCTGCATGCTGCCTCTCAGCTGCCAGTCGCTCGGCGTAGGACATATCAGGCCGCAGGGCTGGCCCAGCTGCCAGCGCTAGACGTTCTCTCTCCAGGGGCCCCAGACTCGGATGAAAGGGAAAAGGGTGCAGGCCGGGTGGGCCAGGCTGCAGAGCCAGGCCCCCATGTCGGGGGAAGGGATCCAAGCCCGGCCCAGGGACCCCGTGTAGGGGTTCCAGCTCACTGGGCTTCACCTCAAAGCCAGGCTTGAGGCGGTCACGGAGGTCTCGTTCACGGGCTTCCCGCTCCCTCTCCCGGGCTGCTGGGTCACTGCTGTACAAGGCCGGGACATTGTAACCCAGGAGCCCTGGGTCCACTGCCCCTAGGGGCACGTAGAACGGATGGTTGCGATTGCCAGGAGACATGACGTGGGGCCGGGCGTATTCACTGAGCGTGCGCAGGGCCGGAGTGTCAGGACCCAGGTAGGGGGGCACTGTAGCCACAGCGCTGCCCGGCTCAAATGGAGGGCGATGGGGCACCGGGCCAAGAGATGGGCACTCCACCGGCGCCCGGCCCTCCTGAGCCAACTTCTGTGGGATACAGGGAGAAAGAGTCAAAAGGGCAGGTCTGGAAAAAGGCGGCTGGTCCCGAGCTGCTCGTTTGTCTCACCAGCTGAAGGCCAAAATGCCTCATCTTACTGGAATCTCCCTAACCCTTTCTCCTGGATATTGGTTCTCCCTACCATCCACAGGCACTCGGATCTGATTTTGCCTTCCCCCAACCCAAGAATGCAAGGATTTCTCCCGCTGGAATCCTTCCGTCTCGATTTCCCGGGCTGCCGTGCTTCCTCCTCTCCGATAGGGGGAGCAATGATCATCCCCCGGCCCCCCCGCCGCCCCGGCCCTCCCTGCGCGGCGCAGAGGGCCAGACAGGCGGGTGGGTGGCGCATGTGGTGACGCACTCACCACGCTGCGTTCCAGCTCGCGCTCCTTCTCGCGTTCCCGCTCCTTCTCGCGTTCCCGCTCGCGCTCGCGCTCCTTTTCTTCGCGCGCGCGCTGCTCGGCCTCGCGCCGCACCTTCTCCACCAGGTCGGCCCGCTTCTTGGCCAACTTGGAGCCCTCCAGCGGCACGAAGTACAGGTCGCTGCGCGCGCACGAGTTAAAGCCGCGGTCCAGGTGTTTGTTGAACCTGCCGGGCACGAGGGCGGCGCGCGCTTAGCCCCTGCGAGCTGCCGGAGTGCCCCGCGGTGACCCTGCCCCCAGACCCGCCTGCGCAGACTGTGAGGGCGAGGCGAGGTTCTGGAGTACTTCAAAAAGCACCATGAGAACGCAAGGCTCCCTCTTGGCGCCTGCACGGGTCTCTCCGTTGCCCCCTCCGTCGTTCCCCATTCCAGGCCCAACCTCACCCCGCCCCGGGCGGCTCACCTGGCTGACTGGCTGGCATGGCTGGGCACGTCTACCACCTTGGGAGGGGGCGAGGGGCTACGGGCCGGG